TCATTTGCCCCACTCTGGGCCCCTGAGCAAGGCCCTTAACCCCCACCATCTGTTCCCTAAACAGGTCTCTCTTGAAAATGAGTTCTCGTGACTCAAAGAGACGACCTGGATAAATAAAGGATAAATGAAGAAAAAAAAAGAAAAACTGTCCCCCTCTTACAGTGCCGTTATTGCTAGTATCACTCAGCCCCCTTTGAATAGCAAGTGGTCATCAGGGCACTAACGGAGTCTGAAGGTTCTCCTTTTACATATGAACAGCTAGTTTTGGAGGTCACCAACAAAACTGGTTAATCCACTATGAGAAGGTGCTATTTATAAGACTGAGTTTGTTGTAGCTCAGACTGAAGAAGTCTTTTGGATAACAGACAAAACGTTTCAACAAAGAAGGATCCATCCAGAGATCCTGACTAAACGTTGTTAGATATTAAAACAAATATGTAAATTATGCTGTTTCGGGGGGAAACAATTGGTTAGATTAATGAAATCATTGACAATCTATTCGGCAGATTAAATTAAATAAAAACAGTTGATATTGGCAGCCCTGCAAAAGTTGTTTCAGACCAACGAGTCTCTCCTAGATGGCAGATCAGTGTCTGTGTGCATAGCAGCAGACTGAGTGCTACTGCTGCAGACAGAAAAGGTCTGAGTGACACACGGCCCTAGCAGAAGAAATGGAAACGTCACAGCTAAAGGAGAGATGCTGCTCAACAGGACGGACTGGTTTGCTGTAATGAGATCGAGCATCTATTCAGGTAAATCCTGAACAACAGCTGCAAAGTTCTGGTGACACATCTGCACCTCCATTCTCCTAATTCCACAACACTGTCCGTTCAGTTCTGCAGAACAAACTGAACCAGTTTGTGCTTTAACTGTCGACTAATGTTCCAGCAGCTACAACAAGCAGCTTCTCTGATCCACAAGTTTCTATTGCTGATGGTGTACTGCAGGAACTCTCCAAACAGCAAGAACCTGTTGCCTTTCAGGTGCAAAGTAAAAAAGACAGCACCGGCCAGAAACCCCCACCGCACCCCCATGTAACTTCTAAGTCTATAAAGTTAAATAACGTTTTTTTATTTAAGTTTTTGGTGAAATTTACTGAAATTAGCTTGATATAGTCCAAAATCAAAAGGTAAAAGGGCAGTAATGGTTTTGCCCCAGTCTGTGTGTGATTGTAAATATCTCATGAACCAGAGGCACATTTTGAATAAAACTCTCAGAAAGTGATCAGTGGATGTATTCAGGAGTTCAAGAATCCCCCACAGAGACGTGACATTAAAAAACACTAAAATAGCTATAACAGTGAACTTTACAGATAACATTTGGTGTGGTAATAACTTGAGAGTCTTCCTCAACACATATTTATACCAGTTGATGGCCACCATAGCATATACGTAGACATTAAAAACAAAGAATTGTGTATAACTCAGTCGGGCTGAAGTTTGGTGAGGTAGTCGAGTCATCTTCAACACATATTCTGAAAGTTAGCACATTTTGAAAGGTGATCTCACAATATCACATGAAACTGCACTGAAGTCCTACCGAGTTTGACCAAGAGCTGAAACTCAGTCATTTCTCATCATACAATGAATTTTATGAAAGGCGATGGGCTTTAGGCCTTCCATGAGGGAATACAGTAGTCCCTCGATACTTTGCGGTTCGACTTTAACGGGTTTTCGACGTAAGATTGTACATGACACACGATGGTCAACTTTAATATTACTCACGTGATTGGGAAGGTACAGGATAAAAAGTTAACAGGAGCGGAAATCAACCAATAGGACAAAAAGCAAACAATATATACTTTGGACAGGCGCTGGCATTTTGTTTTCTATCAATAAGCCAACACTGTAACGCAAGTCAAAAGAACTACACGGCCCAGAAGCCAACAGTGCTTCCAGCCGCTGCTTTCTGACAAAATTCAAAGAACAGCAATGGAGAGAGCAAACACTAGTGGAGAAACCGATGTGATAAAAATAGTTTCGCAACACAAAGTCAGAAGTAACGATCTATTAAGCGCACAGAACTGGCAGGAAAGTCTCAAATAATCCTGAAGGCTGTCTAGTCTTGACTGTTCGCTCTCAGACTGCAGGCTTACTCGTGGTTCCTAGAGTTTCAAAAAGCTGAATGGGAGGAAGATCTTTCAGTTCTCAGGCTCCTCTCTTGTGGAACCAACTTCCAGTTTCTGTCCATAGGGCTGACTCATTGTCCAGTTTTATGACTGGGATTAAGACTTTCCTTTTTGATAAATCCTATAGTTAGGGTCGGCTTGTTATGCTGCTATAGGCTTAAACTACTAGAGGACAAATTGACCTCATTTCCTTAAATGAATTGTTAAAATTGAATAGTTTTCATTTGATACTATTTCTAACTCAACATGTGATTCTTGACCTGCCATTGTGTATCTGTTCTTCTCAAACCCAGCTGGTCGAAGCAGATGGACGCTTGTCCTGATCCTGGTTCTGCTAAAGGTTTCTTCCTCATGAGGGAGTTTTTTCTTTCCACTGTCGCCTTCACGCTTGCTCAAGATGAGAGTTCTGCGACGGAGTTAAACTCAAAGCTCCTCAGATAAATAATGTTAAATTATTATTTTTATATATAAATGTTTCTGTTCAGTGTCGAGACGACTTCTGTTGTGACTTGGAACTATAGAAATAAACTGAACTGAAATGAATTGAATTGAAGCTGAACTCATCCTTCAAGTTGTAGTAGTATTTTTACTGGTACAAAATTTTGCAGTACTGTACAGTACATATATAAGTACATAACCATGTATGTTGTTAAAATTACGTAGGTTTGAGTTTAGAACATTGTTGAGAACATAAAAAAGTGTGGGAAGAGCTTACAAAAGCCTTAATATATAGAAATACTTAAATAAATATAACATCCCTACTTCGCAGATTCTGGAACGCAACCCCCCGCGATAAGTAAGGGACTACTATAATGAATTTATTTCAGCTCTGACATGAAAGGCGATGGGCATTAGGCATTCCATGAAGGAATATTAGGTCTTAAGTTAATGTAGTGCTTATTTGAAAGAGAAATGAAATATCACCATGTAACTCAGCTCTGACTTGAGTTTAGCTCCCGTTTGGCTCATCACATGATCCACAGCTGCAGAGTCTGACCTGTCAGATAAACCCTGCTGCCAAGTTTCCCGCCACCAGTCCCCAAATTAAAAGCAGTGGTTCCCAACACTGGTCCCTGAGGAACACCACCCTGCACGTTTTAGCTGTTTCCCTGCTTCAACACACCTGATTCAGTGATTTAATTTCCTCAAGTTCTGCTGAAGCCTGTTAATCACCAAATAATTCAAATCAGGTGTGTCAAAGCAGGGAAGCAGCTAAATCATGCAGGATGGTGTTCCTCAAGGACCAGTGCTGGGAACCACTAAGGAATATCGCCTGCCACCTTTCTCATCAGAATTTCGACTAAAATCATCTTCTGTTTAGCAATAATGGCATAGTAGCTGTTTTGGTCAAATTTTGAGAATATTATGCACAATCTTTTGTGTCACTAGATGTAACGTTCAGAGTGTGTGTTGTGAATAATGCTCAGCTACTACCACTTCAAATTTTACTTCAACATCTGTTTAATTGACTGAGGTAGAGCCATTTTTGTGTTGGAGGGTGTTGATTGGCTGTGGGAGCCATCATAATATGTGCTGCTTCTGAATGTTAATCAAGTGTAAATTGTCATCCAGATGTTATTTCCTGAAAGTTATGACTTTTTTTTTATTTAGTAGCTCATGATATAATTTGCTAACAGACAAACAAGGTTGACAGTTTAAAGTTTGAATCAAATACTCCATGCAGCGCAAATCACTTGAAGGACATGTTGTGAATGATTCACATACAGCCATGCCAAAATGTCAGCATATCCGTAAAATCCACATATTTATAGCCAACTTCTGTGCTTTCAAATATGTGTTGGCTGTAGTGGTCATCTTCAACTGGGTAGGCTCCAACAGTTAACCAGTTGTAGAAACATCAATCATCAATTATTTCCTGGAAGTTGACACAAACACACAGGCATGGGCGAACACCAGTGGCGACTTTAGCCTCTTTTTGGGTTCAAGCTCCTCTAAATTTTAATTTAGCACCCCGAAAAATTAAGAAACTATCATTACGATTTTGTAAGGAAACTCGGGGGGGGGGGGGGGGGGGGGGGGGGGGGGGGTGTTAGGATGTGTGAGAAGCGGAGAGCTACATCTGTAGCATCTTATCTAGCGTGTCTGTATTGTGCGCCGCAATACAGTTGACTGCAGTTGTCAACTGGGTGTGAGTTAGGATTCGTGAGAGAACAGGAGTGTGCTCTATTCACACAGGGAGAGCTGTTGGTCAGGCTACTTCTTGTTGTGCCATTAACTCTAAGATAGCTATTGAATCAAGTGTTTACTTATGTAGGTAAAACTAGATGTTAAATAACCATTGAAATACACCAGAATGCAGGAAATGGGATCTACTTTATTCACAATTTTCTTGGGGACAACCAGGGCTTAATTTGAGCCGGATCATGCCAGAACAAAATCCAGGAACTCTCTTGACAGAAGTGGAGTGTCTACAAATGTGGATAAACATAGATGTTTAGCAACTTGTTAAAATATTAAAAAATGCAGGAAATCGTATATACTTCAACAATTTTGATTTTTTTTGGTTTTTGTAAATACAGAATGTTTAATAAATGTTAGGACTCTATTCTTTGCTAGCAAAATATAATTTATGTCATTAAACTCCCCCCCACACACACACATTATAAATGATTCTGATGCAACCGGCCACACGTTGTTCAAGCCGAGAGCCACTGTCAACACTGGGGGCTAAGTGCCCCTAAAGGTAATTTTCTAGAATCGGCCCTGGTAAAGCCATCGTCTGCCTTCGAGCATCTGCAGGAAGCGTTTCTTCCAGCAGCAGCCTACAGGCCTTCCTCCTGTCGTGCCTTAGCTGCACGCGCAGGGATGCAGGGCGCAGCATCAGCCCCCTCCAGCACCAGCACACACTCACCCAGGGTTTTGACTGCGATCTGCCGCGTGAGGGGCGGCGGCAGGTTGATGCACACCAGATCCACGTCCTGGTGCAGCAGCACGTCGTCGATGCGGGTGGTGTAGAACGGGACGTCCATCTCCTCCGCCAGCTCCTCCGCCTCCTCCTGGGTCCGGCCCCACAGCGCCTTCACCGCGAAGCCCTCGTTCTTGAGCAGGGGGATGATGACCCGGGCCGTCAGGCTGGTTCCGAACACACCGACTCCGGGCAGCATGGCTCGGCTCGGCTCGAGTTCTGTGCTGCGGTTCGCGTTTGCTCTGGTTCCGGTTGAAGCCGGAGCAGCTGCGGCCGAACTGGGCTCGGTCAGGGTGGCACCTGCAGCACCCGCTGCACCACGGTCCACACACACGGAAATCTGCGAGTAAAACAGGTGGAACCCGCTCTGTTCTTACTGGGATGCGCCACGAGCCCAGTCCCCACTGGTCCCCGCGAGCACGAGATTCTGTCGTTCCTTGAAAAACACTGGAATAATAAATAGATGTTCAAAAGGTCCAGACAGGTTCAGGTCTCCGCAGCTGGCAGGAAGCCCACCTGAAGCAGCAGCTGCTGTCTCACTCCGTCACTCCTCTGCAGCGACACCGGAAATACACTTTCCAAGGGATTTCAAATTAAAAGCCCTGTTTGTTTTCCATGTCAGTTGTTGTGCCTTTTTGTTTGTTTGTTTGTTGTTTGTTTGTTTTCCAGCAGAGGCAGAAAGTAGTGAATTACATCTACTCGCGTTGCTGTAAATGATCATGACGTTTTTGTACTTTGTACTTTTGAGTTTGCACAAGCAGGAGCGGTTCTAGAATCTGATCTTTAGGGGGTCTTAGCCCCCAGTGTTGACAATGGCTCTTGACTTGAACAACGCGGTGTCTATTGACATGTGAAGCATTTGTAATGTTGGGGGACACTGGTGTGGGGTCGTCCGGGGGTTCTCCCCCAGAAATTTTGAATAAACTAGATGCTATTTCCTACATTCTGGTGTATTTTAACAGGTTGGTAAACATCTATACGTTTACCTAAATAAGTAAACACTTGATTTAATGACTATTTTAGAGAGCACGGCACAACAAGAAGCTCATACTAGCTGTGCAATACTTATTTATACTAATTAATCCTATTTGCACCGTTATTTTCTACCATGTTGTTGTGTACTATATTTATTTTGGACCTTGTAAATAGTATTTCTTTTTCACTTTTTTGTAATTTATTTTTAATTTATTATTAAGCTCTCGACCTTGACCTCTCTAAGTGGCTTCAAACATCTGCTAAGTTCATGGCAAAACCCAGTTCAGACGTGCTGATGTTTTTAGTTTTCTACATCGTCTTACAACCTAGCAGTTTTTTTGTTACATATTTTTAAATACCATTTTATTTTCACTTATTCTCAATTTGTATGCATCCTTTATGACTGTCTATTGTTGTCGTAGTTATCCACTGTTATGATCCCTCTTTATTAAAATCAGGTCTCTCTTGTAAATGAGTCCCAGAGGCTCACTGGGATTAACATGTTTAAATAAAAGGTTGAATGAATGAATGAAATAATTTTGTACTTTTATTGCATGCCTTAATTTCTTGTTTTTTTTGTGTGAGTCTAATCAGTTCTTCTCATCCTGAACATTTCATTGAATTGTTAACCTTGTGTTAACCTGCATATGACAAATAAACACATAACAAGAAGTAGCCTGACCAACAGCTCTCCTTGTGTGAATAGAGCACGCCCCCCTTCTCTCACATATTCTAACCCACACCCAGTTGACAACTGCAGACAACTGTATTGTGGCGCGCCACCACCTGGAGAAAACCCACGCATGCACGGAGAGAACATGCAACCTCCGTTCAGAAAGGCTCCCGGGCAGGATTTGAACCGGCGACCTTCTCGCTGAGAGGCAGCAGCTCTACTAACCCAGTCACCGTGTTGCCACAAAAGTAAACATGAAAATGAGGAACAGAAAAGAAAGCTCAACATAACACCTGCTGTGAGTGGGTCTGCTTCTTACCTCTGCACAAGCTGCTGAGGGTGCGGCAGAAAGAAGGAGTTTCCCTCTTAAATAAACATAAAGCCTGTGGACAAGCTGCCCACATGACAGCTGCTCTTCCAGCACTTCCAGCTCGTCTTCACATCCCCCTCCGTTGTGGAGAGAAGTGCAGCATACACTTGTCTGCATTAGACATTATGGGATTTGCATTACTGCCACGTCTGCTCGTCGTTATAACTGATTTATTATTAATTCCATATGCTGCTGGAGTCTGAGAAATTCAGTTTTTCCAAACATGACATCCCAGTGCACTTTAAAGCTTACAGGACTCTCAGACAAAGGCTGATCCATCCTGACAGCCCCCTCAAACACAAACTGAGCACTGTGCCGTAATAGTTCATTGCAGTGAGGACTGTTCAGACTCTTATTGTGCTTTTAGTTACTAATGCACATGCAAAAAAAAAAAAAAAAAAAAGGCATCAAATGCTCAAAAATATTCAAGGCTACTTCTGGTGTTCATTTGGTGTTCAGCTGTAGTGTCTTAGTCCGTGACAGTTGCTGCGTTATACACCCAGCCTGAACCTGCTGCAACAAAGTGCATGTCTGAGTGCTGCACATTTTAAACAGCTGTGGGACCAGAAACATTTTTCAGCTCGTGCACAAAGTGCACACACTTTCTTGTTCGTGTCAAGCACTGTCTACAGAGCAGCACCATCAAGATGGAGCTCTAACTCCAGGCTGCTGACAATAAGCATGCACCAAAATCAACTGTGTGCATTATTCCACGTCATTTGGAAATCCTGACAGCTGGGATAATGCTATGCATGCTAATAAATCGATGATGCCAGCGGGGTATGACTGGTGGTGTCATGGTCTGAGCGTGTTTGAACCCAAGTGCAGGAAGGACTCGGAGAACTCAGGGATAATTAAATGTTATTAATTAAAATAAACAAAATAGCTGACGTGGCAGCAAAACTCACCCACAGAGCATTAACGGGAGACACGGGGACAGAACATGACGCCTTGATGGACAATCCTCGGAGGGAACAATAATAAAAACGCTGAATATAAGGGCACATTAATGAGGGGATGAATATGAAACACCTGGGGGAGGACAACAAGTGGCAGAGGAGGAACTGATTCTGTGAGGAGAAAAACAAAGAGCAGGAACAGACCACAAGAGGGAGACACACACAACAGAACACAATCCTCACAGGGCTGTCACAATCATTAACATGCTTTTTTATTTCTGCATTTGAGGGCGAGTTCAGTGAAACTGGCACACTTTTTAGAGTGCTGCAAAACAAAGTGGTGGACATTGAATATAGTCTGGCATGCATCCATGACCAAGATCATGGATCTGTGTATCATGGATCGGATCATGATCCAAGCACGAGACTGGAGTTTGACCGTTTCTCTGACAGATGTGACCAAATGAAGGCCAGGTTAATTGTGCAAAATTCAGTGAAACGTCACAAAGAAACTGCAAAGCCTGTCAAATGCTACGTCGCGTTCTTTGACTTTGTGAGACTAAAGGTGGATCTCATCAGTGAGGAATGAATGTAAATATCCCGGACAGCTTCTCAGCTTTTTGGCTCAGAAGGATTTTATTCAGACTGAGGTGACCAAGTTGCTCCAGTTGGTGTTCACTTTGCCAGCTACCACAGCGTCGGTGGAGCGGCCATTCTCAGCACTGAAAACACTCAAAACATACAGTCAGAAGAAGATCATGGCTCTTTTCCCTGGCAGTGATCTCCATTGAGACAAACTTTTAAAACTTCAGGAAAATAAAATGGTAAATGGACTGTACTTGTATAGCACCGTTCTCTCTTATCAAGATACACAAAGCACTTTACAACACAATGTGTGCCTCATTCATCCATCCACACAGCACTCTACTAGGTCTCTATAAAGCTCATCTGAATCTGTAGAGACTAATCAGAGCTTTGGATCACATTCATACAGCGATGGGACACACATCGGAGGCAATGAGGGTTCAGTGTCTTGCCCAGGGACACTTCGGCATGTGACTGCTGGTGGAATCAAACCCCTAACTCTCCCATTGGAGGATGATTGCTCTATCCATGCAACCACAGTTGCCCCCATTTAATAAATAATGAAGACTTGTTCTGGAAGGACCATCTCATGGACTTCATTATACGTACATGTAAAACCATAATGATGTTTTTTGTTGAACTGTGCATCAAGCGAGCTGCAGTTGTGTGAAGAATGCTGATATGAGACATGAAACAAAACTCGTTGACTGCTGCCAATCAAATGATTAAACTGCTCTGTATGGTTCATATATTTGTAAATGGAGTACGTCACCAACCATTAACCTCGCCGCACATTACTGGTCTGAATTATCTCTTTACCTTCTGCTCTCGCACTAACAACAGTTTGTGAGAAATGGTGCTTAACAACCTGTTTCGCTCCAACTTACGTGTGTAGGAAATAATACAAGAATAATGCTCCTGCCCAGTCAGGCAAGTCATGTGTTACCAGTCAGGCCTGCAACAGGGGGATGCTGATACTGGGACAGAGGGAAACTAAAGCCCCTTATCCACAGGTCCGGTTCTTGTAGAACCCTATTGGGCCTTATTTAGGCCAGTTCCGGTGGGACCGGTTTATTTCTGTCTCCACAGTGCCCATAGTTCCCCTTTAGTGGGCGTATAGTTAACCTTTAGTGGGCGGATCATTAATAATCAATGCGCCTTACCAGCTGGTGGTGCTAGTGCTACATTGAGCTCTTTACTAACCACCACTAACAGTATTAGAAGAAGAGCTGGAAAAACACACACAACCAAAATGGATGATCTTGTTTCTGGTTTGAACATTCTGCTTTGCCTGTGGCTTTTTCTCCTTTTTTATGTGCATATATATATATGTGTGTACAAATATATATGTGTGTACATATATGTGTGTGTGTGTACATATATGTGTGCATATATATGTGTGTACATATATATATGCGTACATATACATATATGTTTGCATATATATATATACATATATGTTTGCATA